TCGGGCTCGGGCTCGGACTCGGGCTCGGACTCGGGCTCGGACTCGGGCTCGGACTCGGACTCAGAGAACTGCCGGAGTCGGGCCTGTACGGAGCTGCAAAATGCTCTAGGCGTTTACGGCCCGGCGTTAGGAAGACAAAACAGGATGTCAGTAGCGGTCATATGGCGCAAACGTGAACGCACACCCACACACGAAGGCATGCCCGAGAAGTTTGAAACACAAAAAGCGGAGCAGCGAAGCGGCGAACAAATGGGCCTATATATTACGCGAGGGCAGGGCCCTGCGCGGGTGGCACTTCAAGGGACGACCAGGGGGGGGGGGGGGGGGCAGCCGTGACAGATCAGGCGGCAGCGAACTGTACCGCGGCGGTACGTGGCTACAAAGCCGCCCCCGGCCCATCTCCGTACGGAACCTGGACGCTTGTCTGAGTCGCACCTTACCAGGCACGACTGAGCGGTTCAGGGGGTCATGCTCTGCAGGGACGGTCCTTAGTCCGTCTTGGTCTGCAGGGAGAAGATTCATTCCGTCATGGTCTGCAGGGACGGTCCTCAGTCCGTCTCGGTCTGCAAGGACGGTCCTAAGTCCGTCTTGGTCTGCAGGGACAGTACTCATTCCGTCGTGGTCTGCAGGGACGGCCCTCAGTCCGTCTCGGTCTGCAGGGACGGTCTTCAGTCCGTCTCGGTCTGCAGGGTCGGTCCTTAGTCCGTCTTGGTCTGCAGGGGCAGTACTCATTCCGTCGTGGTCTGCAGGGACGGTACGCTTTCCAGATGTGTGGGACAATTTTCAAGCAGTTCTTTTTTCCGAATGGATGTTCATTCCTCCTTTCCCTTTTGGGGACGTCTCCCAGTCTGTCGTGAGATAGAGGAACGTCTCTCAGTTTGTCGTGAGATAAAAGAACGTCCCCCAGTTTGTCATGGGAAAAAGGGACCTTCCCCAGTCTGTCGTGAGATATAGGGACGGTTCTTAGCCCGTCTGATGGCACGTACACGATTGGTCCTCAGTTCGTCCAGTTGGTCCGGAACAGTTCTCACCGTCTCCGTTGGTACGGGGCGGGGCCGGTTCTCAGCCTGTCCCGCCGTGCCGGGCACGACCCTGGGTCAGGTCAGGCCGCCGCCGCCTGTCATCGGTTGTGGCCTCACAGGCGCCCGCCTCCCGGCCGCCGCCGGCCCATGGACAGTGTCTGGCGCTGACACACTGTGTGTTATCGCTGCGGGCTGTTTGTTTGCATCCGCGCCAGCTGACATGGCCGTCTGCTCCCGCTGATGGCCCCCTGCCGGCCGGCGGCGCAGACGAGGGCTGAAGGCAAGGGGAAGTGAACGGCGGGGCGCAGGCATAGTTCACTGCGTCGGCCAATGTCAGAGTTTGACATGGCGTTGGAGAGTCGGAGACAGTGTCGTGTGTATCACCAGGTGGACGTGTTTACTTATGCCGACGTGACGCAAATTTCGGGATCAGTCGTGGGAGCTATACCGACAGAGCACGCATACTAGCGTTTCTGAATAGGCATTTGAGCGCTGTGTCCACGGGTGTCGTCTTATGCTCATAGAAGGATGTTGGGTCGCTTCAGGTTAATAGTGTTCTGTCGACTTCGGGACAACGCTGGAGTTAAACGCGATGACGCAATTTCCTTCTATTGTTTTTAACCGTTAGTGGTGGTCAATGACCGGCGTGAAGTTTATGATGGCATTGCCAGTCATTTCTATGTTTATCTCTTTGTCGGTATTTGGGTGTGCCCATCGTTTTGTACTGTTGGATTTCAAGCTCCAGCTTTAGCATGTTGTAGTGAAGAGATACCATACCTAATTTATTTTGATTAAGTTATGCTAAATCACCGTTATTTCCTCCTTCGTAAATATAAAGCTTCTTCCTTTTTTCGTGTGATGCTATCTATATTCACCAGCAAATAAGAACATATATTTGCGTCGAAGATACACTGAGTTGGTATACCTCCTAGATGTATGAGTACCCACCGAAATCCAAAAAAAGATGTTTTGACCAGTCATCGACCCATGAGCAATAGACATACGCATTAGACGTTAACATTTCAGTACGACTTTGGGCTGGTTTCTCACTATAAGTGATTGGCTACAACACAAATTGTCATCAAATTAAATCGCTCATATTTCGTATTATAACCAACACACAAACACGAGCGGCACCTGAACATATGCAGCCCAACCTCCGCTGTCAGAACCGGAGCACCAGCAGGACGGCTGGCCTCGGCCTGCGTCAGCCTCGCACCGGGCGTGCGCTGGCACGTGCCAAATCAGCGGCTGACGCAGTGTCAGGGCCGCCGCCTCACCTCTTCTTGTGTGTGGTCGGCAGTTTTTGCTCGTGCCCCCAGAGCCGGCCTGGGGCCTGTCAGCCTGGGGCCGGCTCTGGGGGCGTCAGCTACAGGCGGTGCTCAAGGAGCGCGCGCCCCGGACCGGCTCTGGGGGTCAGCCAACGGCGGTGTTGAAGGAGCGCGCGCCCCAGGCCGGCTTTGAGGGCACGAGCAAACCTTCTACACCGCCTGTGGCTGACGCCCCCGGAGCCGGCCCTGGTGCGCGCGCCCCTTCAGCACCGCCGGTGGCTGACCGATGGCGGCCGAGTTTGGAAACGTATACGGAATGCCTGCTTTCTCCGCCGTCGATGGTTCGTCGCGTCCTCCGACTCGGGTCCGGCCGGGAGTCGTCTCCGCCGTTATGGCTCTTCTCGATGCTTTTCGGACAGGATGGGCGCCTTGGCGGTCTTCGTCCCGCTACATGTCGCTCCTGCGCGCTACGGGATTGCGACTGGCCGGCACCGGATGTAACCAGCTAAACTGCGACACTCTCGCTCCGTACACCGGTGCGGCGGTTGAGGGCGACACCGTTTGTATTTCTGGTGTCAGCGCCTCATAAATTGGTCGATAAACAATTCACAGCATTACGTTCGAAATGCCACAGTATGTTGTATGGAAAATTTCGAACCGTACAAGTAGCCACTTTCCGGTATGTAACCATTTGCGAACCTGCGCTTTGGTAAAACATGTCAATGGAAAACCGCCACACGCAATATCGGTATCCGAGAGCCAAGTCGTTAAGTGGTGCTTTCGCGTTTTCCTAGTCAGCGCGGCCACATCGAAGCGTTCGAGAAGCGGCATCGTTACACATTTAATAAACCTAACTACTGTGTGGCGCATTTGTTGTCTGTTGGTGTACTCCACGTCTGTGAAGATCGAATTTTCTGCCAATTTTTGTTTGAGGAACATTGCAATTTTGTATTCTCGGAAGCCCTAAACTACTTGGTTTGCCCACTTGTTTTGTTTCGCGACTCCCTGGTTCAGGGTCAGTTGGGCAGGTGACGTCAGATAACCGTCCCCACTTGAACAGCTCTCTCGTTAGCGTGCTAGTGTGTGGATTCTGTAACGTATCCCAGTATCGCGATCTGGATTCTCCGACACGATTTTTTTTAAAGGAATGCTCCACGTTTGAAGATGTTGTAGCAAGCATCAGATATGAAACACGCTCGCTTATAATTATCGGTATGCTTTTTAAGTGGAAAAGACTGCTCTCGACAACACAATTCTCTGTTTAGTAAATATACTCTTCAATGCGTCATGGTTTGATTACGTCATCGTACCTTGCCCAGCATTGATTGAAAGCCAGTTGATGGCCGGTATATCTGGAAATCACGCTCACGAGCGCCAGAATGAACGCCTCGACAGTTAAACTTTTATTGGTGGCCGCATGCCCTATGTAATGGCAGGACTTGAATGACGTTATTTTGACGTCATGAATGCCAAGGTGACTTTGAAATACTCCCCCCGATGTACCTTTCCCCACTTTCGTGGGCGTGTAGCTCAGAAACTGGAGGGGCTTAAGTATTAAGAAGGACAGTATTGTGAACTGCACCGAAAGGCCTTCAATATAGCTATTCCAGTTTAAAACCCCATATAAATGTGGAACACCGCCTTTAAGGTGCTGGATGTATGGTACATTTGATGAAGGGTCTAGTGTGAACACAAATTTTGTTATTCATTCTTCCAAGTTGTCTTGAGTGTAGGAACTTTTTTGAATTTTCCAAGATTCTTTCGGGATCCGCTTTCAATTTAAAAAATAAATTATCTGATATCCAAGATGCTATTATGAACATGATGGAGGAGCCGTTTAGGATCGGGAATCCAACTTTCGGACCAACACATCCCTGTCTGCCCACTATCTCGCGTTCGGAAATGCCTCCTCTCGTCGAGTCGAAAAACTCCATGCGACGTTGTCGTTCATGAGGCGCGCAGCCCGCGACGGCACAGTCGAGCGCGGCGGCTGGGCGCCCGCACCCCGCACCCTAACACTGGGCGTCAGACCCCAGCAGCTGACTAATCTCCGCACAAACAGCTTGGTGTGCGCACGGCCGGCCCTGCCTCGGGCCTGGTGCGTGCCGAGGAAGGTGTATCGCGTGTCAGCGACTGGCACTGTCCGCGCGCCACGAGCGCCTCCAAAATCTGCGCCTCCACGCCTGAGCGCCCGGGGCTTCCGTTGTACCGCGCTGAGGGGCTTCACGGCCGGCGTTCGGCGGCTTCTCCTGAACCGGAGGCGCCCCGTGCCATCAGAGTCGTGCCGGATTCATGTGGGTCACCGGGCACGGAGCGCGGTGCAGCGCCGAGCCGTTGTAAGGCGTCACGGTTTCAGAGGAAGGGGTCGCTTCGGTTGAAGACGCTCGTCGCCGCCGGCCAACGCCATCTGGAGATTGCCCACGTGATTTACTTGTGGGTTTGTTCGCGACTGTGCTTTTTTGTGAGAATGTCGTTATGGGGTCGACCGAGCCTACTGTCATTTGTTGCCTGTTGTTCCCTACCGCCAAGTAGATTACCCGTGATCATTGTAAATACCCTCCCGACGTCGCTCGCTAGCACGATCTGTCGTCCCGCCACCCGCTGAAACCCGTTTATATGCCGTGCCGTGCCGTGCCGTGCCGTGCCGTGCCGTGCTGTGCGCTGAGCTGAGCTAAGCTGACGTCTGCCCTCTGTGCCGCCCCCTCAGACGGTGCAGCACGGCTTCCCGAGCAAGCCGTCGGCGCTGGCGTACGACCCTGCGCTCAGCCTGATCGCGGTCGGCACCAAAGCCGGCGTCGTCAACGTGTATCCTTTGACCGCACCGACGCTGCCGCTGGCTGGCTGGCTGGCTGGCTGGCTGGCTGGCTGGTTGGCTGGGGGGAAGGGGGGGGGGGAGAGACTCGCCCGGGCGGGAGGGGACGTGATGCGGCAGCGCGTGAGAGCCTCGGGTAGGTCATCAGGGATGGGTGAAGAAGGGCTTGTCCTGCAAACGGCAGGGCAAGCCCCCGCCATCGAACGCACCTTTCGGTCCACTAGTTGTTATTGCTGCTCTTTTAGACTGGGCGATAGCGGGAACAGCGGATGAGAAAATGAGCTTCAAATTATGTGTCGCTGCGAGGGTATCATTGCGTCGATCAAACAACGTTTCGGTTGAATTTGTCAGACTTGAGCAAGCAATGCAGCATGAGCTTCCTGAGAGGTTGGATTGTGCGGCGTTGTGGGTGCCTCATGCGTGCATGATTTGGGTGGCCAAATTGGTTGCAAAATGGCGCGTGCATTAAGTTTTGAATTTGTGCGAGGTTTGCTGAGGTTATTGCGGTTTTGTAAGTGTGAAGTTTTGGCGTCGTGAAGATTGGAACCGGTAACCTTAATATTTCGGACTCTCAAAGTGAAAAGCTTTCGACCTCGCCAGGATTCGAACCTGGAATCTTCTGATCCGTAGTCAGACGCGTTATCCATTGCGCCACGAGGCCGAGCTGGGCGTCGGTGGTTGAGTGTTGATCTTAAACTAGACAGTGTTGTATAACATGGGTTTCTAGCTAGGCCATCGATCACGGCAATTTTATAAATTCCCAAGACATTTGCCAACGATTTAAGTGACCGATGGCCTAGCCCATGGCCATAAACACAAAGCCGAGTCACTCACCATGAGGTACTGCCTGCGTGATATGGAAGAGAGATGCTAGCCGCGTCATCCACTGCATCCGGGTTCCAGAGCGCGCGCTTGCTAGGCCCGACTGGCGTGGAAAGGTCAGTTCGTATCTAGCCAGCGATGGTCAACGCTTGGCCCAGCGCAACCGTGTCACGGCCTTTGTGATACGCAAAACCGTCCGGAGTCCTGTCCGACGAAAGGACGGAGGCGACATCATCCGTTGAACTGGCGGCAGTTTAGATGGTGGGGTAAAACCGCTTGAGATATGCGCAGCAGTATATTCTTAACAAGCGCACTGAACGAGGATCTACCCATGCGAGTTATGTGGGGTAAAGTATTAATGGTGCGGGGCCCTGGCATATTTAGCATGGACAGCATCACACCGTGGTAAGCCTGGCTATGTTCTTTTCCTCTTCAGTACCATTTTGTGCGGCCAAACATGGAAGTAATCCAAACTAACAAGTAAATGATGTGTGAATTCCGACGCCCCCAGTGGCAGTTATGCGCATGCGCAGCAGTGCATGGAATCACAAAACCCGCGAGGAAAGTGGCGCCCGGTAATGACAGCGGCCGTCTTCCTGGTCGCGCCGTCCTGTTCGTCGCTGTTTGCCGCTCGGCTCCGCTCCGCCGGCTCCGGGTCTTCCCTCTGCCCGTCGCGTGCCGTGCCCTCTTCCTCGGCGGAGTCGCGGCCAGACCGTGCCGCGTGCATGCACGAGGAGACGGGCGGCGGTCGCGTGCGCCCCGCACAGCTGCGCCCCCGCCGGCCGCCTGCCCGCCGCGGCCGGCTCTGGCTTGCGGCGGGGCGCCCAGCGCCGGCTGTGGCTTCGGCCGCGTCACGGCCGAGCTGTCGCTGCCGCCCGCGACGTCGCGTGCCGTGGTCTGGCGCGGTGGTCGGCTTGAATGCTGCGCCTGCCTGCGCGAGCCGGTTCTGACCCGGTTTGAATGGTGGCGGCCGCTGTTGTGTGCTGGAAGCTGTGGATGGCGCTGCTGCCATTGCTGGACGGACGGCGTCGGGGGGACAGGCGGGTGGGATGTGACACGGGCCGCAGGAGGGCGGGCGGTTGGCATGGCGAGGAAATCGCCACCTCGCTGAAACCAACCAAAGCTTCTGCTTCATCTACTTCGTCCGCCTCGGTAATCGTTCGAAACGTCGGAACTTCCCAGGCTTTACACGAGGTGGTGGTGGCTTGATGACATCGCCGGCTTTCCCATCCCAAGCTCGCTTTTAAGCGCGTGTTTACCACGCTCGTGGCCGACCACATTTCTTTCCAACAGAACTGGGAGAATCGAGCGTGGCGGCGGCGCCGGCCACCTCCGCCGGCAACCGTCGTGAGGGAGTCGGCGTGACACGTGCGGCGCCGGCGCTGCCTCGCGGCTGCCGGCTGGGACAGGCCCGCCGCCGGCCGGAGTCCGGCCGCTGGGCGCGCACGGGGCGGCGGCGGAGGAGCGCCGCTCGAGACTGGGCGGCGGCGGCGGCAAGCCTTTCGGGCTGGGCCGCTGGGTGGCGGGCAGCGGCGGCGCGCCCGTGGTCGGCGGTGGGATGGCGAGGTTTCGGCGGAGAGACGGCCGCTCGGGCTGGTCCGGGACGGACTCTTCACTCTGCAGAGCCAGAAGCGCAGCGATGGAACGCCTGCCTCGTGACCCAACGCTCAGCCGGGTGCGGTCTGTATGTTTTCGTCTCCCTGCAACGGTGGGCACAAGATATCGCGAGGCTGGGGACCAATCAGCTGCGCGCGTGGCAGACAAATCGGGGCGTCTCGTGCTCCTTCGGCAGCGCCGCCCGTCTGCCTTGTTTATAAACAGCGTCTGATCCGGCCGGTGCAACTCCCCGGGCGCCTGCTGGCTGCATACCGGGGCCGCTCATCCAGCGAAACATCGCTCGAGCCCACCGTGTCGCCGAGTGGGGTCGACAGCTCCGGCGGCTCTCGCGGCGCGGCGCGGCGCGGCGCGGCGCGGGCGGCGGCTCCGCGGCCGCCGGTGAGCGGTGTGGAGCAGGGTGCCGTCCGCTGCCGACGCCGCCCGCTGCCGGCCCGTCCGCTGCCGGCTGCGGTGGACGGCTGACCGACCTCAGGCGAGCTCGGGAGCGGTCGCTGGCGGATGCAGCAAACTTTCGCACGAGCAATCCCGCTCCCAGCGCCGGGGCGTGGCCGCTCATGAACGCCTGCCATTCTTCCGCCTCGGTGGGGCAGATGTGGCGGGCTGTCACCGTGTAGCTCGGCTCCGCGGCGTTGCATGGGGTCGGTGCTGCTCCGCCCGTCAGGGAAATCAGATGAGCACGGCATTTGTCGGGATCTGGTGTCGTCGCCTGAAGCGGCCGCTGCTCCAGACCTGCAGCAAACAGTAGATGTGGCGGCGCGGCGTTTTTGGCTGTCGTAGCAGCCGTTGAGTGGCCTGTTTTTAGGCATGTTTTTTCGGCGGCGATGTATTTCGAGGTGTTGTTGGGGTGGCGTGAACTTCCGTGTTATTAGATCAAAGCAGCGTGAGCCCCTGAAAAAGTTAGTCGGGCAGATCTCGTCGATGGTAACAAGCAGACACGCATACAGCACGCAACCGGCCACCTGACAAAAAGACCGGTGGTACCGCCGCTGCAGCCAGACGGCTGGCAGACGGACGGGCACACCTGTGTCCGCGCGGCGGAGGGAGGCAGACAGGGAGTCCCGCCGTCGGCCACCGTCTCCTGCGGCAGGGGGGGGGGGAGGGGTCCCTTCGCTGCCCCGCCGCAAGAGGCGGCGAAGGGGCCTCCCGGGGGTCACCTGTGTCCGCTGCATCGGGCCGGGGGAGGGCGACGGAGTCCAGGCTGCCGCCTGTGTCTGTGGCGGGTGAGAAGGGGCGGGCTGCGCCGGTGCCGGTGCCAGTGCCTTCGGCGGCGGCGGCGGCGGCAGGCGGGCCCCGGTGCCGCCTGCCCCGGTCCGTCCGCCCCGTGCCGCTGCGCCGCCCGCCCAACAGGTGGTGGTATCGACCAGCGGCGCCGGCGCCGGCCCGCCAGGAAGCGCTCTCCCGGCAGCGGCGTGAGCTGTATCGCCGGCCGGCGGCAGCGCTGGTGAGGGGGGGGGGGGGGAGGGGGACGGCGGTGGGCGGGGCTCGGTGTCGGGAGGGAGGGGTCCGCGCTGATCGGCAGGACAGGACAGGACAGGACAGGACAGGACAGGACAGGACAGGAAGGCAGGGCAGTACGGGCAGGGCAGGGCAGGATGGGACAGGACGGGACAGGACAGGACAGGGCAGGGCAGTACGGGGCAGGGCAGGGCAGGATGGGACAGGACGGGACAGGACAGGACAGGACAGGACAAGGACAGGGCAGGGCAGGATGGCAGGACGGACAGGACAGGGACAGGACAGGACAGGCAGGGCAGGGCAGGGCAGGGCAGGGCACGGCGGGGCTGGGCAAATCAGGTCAGATCAGATGTGAGAGATGGTGGGAGTTTGCCTGGTCTGGTGTTAGAGTTTGGGTTTGAGGTCCTGAATGGGACGGTCGATGTGTTACGGGGTTGGAGTGAAAGCAGCGAAAGAAATCATATTTTGAAAGCTCCACAGCTTTTAAATTTTACGCCACGTTTCAGATTTCGCACGGAGGCCAGAACTGTGCTTTGGAATCACGCGACAATCGTCATATTAATGTCATCTGGCTACTGTTACGAAGAGCAATGCGCGACTCTCCGCACAAAGCAGTTGGGGAAATTTTCTTGAGCAGAGAAAATCCACCAGAATGCCATTTTCGACACCGAGCGTCGGCACGTACGCCACCTGCACAGAGGCGTACGGCTCGGGTGACGCAAAGCTGCGTCAGATCGAGCCGCTCAGACAGCGTCGGTCAAGCGAGCGGGAGCCCACAGGCAATCACGAGTCCCCGCCGCTCCGACGCTGCGCGGGCGCGCGGCCGGCGGCCCGGGGTCCGGTCATCACGGCGCCCGCGCCGCCCGCCGGCCGAGACCGCGTCGGGCGCGGGCCGGCGGCCCATGGGTCGGAGTCACCACGAGCACCGCGCCGCCTGCAGCCCCCGAGGGCGCGTCGGGCGCGGCCGGCGGCCGGGGTCGGGTCACCCGGCCCACCGCGGCGGCCACGCGCCCGAGGCGCGTCGGGCGCGGCCGGCGGGCCCGGGGTTAGGGTCACCACGGCGCCGCGCCTGCCTGCCGCCCGAGGCGCGTACGGGCGC